TGATTAGTCTTAAGACAGAGTGATCCAGTGCTTTGCCGGTGACATCTCCATCACTTGTGGCCTACTCTAGGACCCTGCCATGAATCTCGTTGTCGTGTCAAACCCAAAGGAAACACATGCTCGGTTGCCAAGAAACATTTCATTTTTATTATATTTTGAATCAAAATTTGATGAAGTCGCAAGGTGATCATGTCAAGTGTGTAATTGTCAGGGGCGATTTTTCATGTTCTATGACATGTTAAACACAATTCTTTTTTATTATTTCTCAATTCATCATGAACAAATTAAATATACGAATGGCATTGTTTGTTTGGTGTAATAAATGTTCTTTGAAGATGCATGATCTTTTTCATCAATCACCACTTTGTAGATGCATTCTCTTTACTAAATTAGTAGCTTGAACTTTGATCAAACTTATTGATCACCCAAATCTAATTTCCTTTTATGGGATATCACGGAATTGACATTTGATTAGTTGGCAACTCGATCCCATGTAGATCTTGATCAAACTTTATTGTTCCGATCATTTTCAATCTTAGCTAGTGGGGTTTAAGCATTTATAATTCCATTGTATATATCTTCCAGTCGAGTTGAACCAATTCATATCTCAGAGTTTGTCTACAAGATTTGACTCCGTTTGTCCATTTAAGGTTGTTTAATTTAAATTTTATTATTAACTGTTAAAAAATTAAAATAATTATTATTTATTAATAAAATATTCTTATAAACCAAACTTGATAAAGCTTACCTAGGCCGCCACCAATTCATAGAAAGATCTAGATTCGTCCCCTAATTCCATATAAGCTTAAATAATTCTCAATTCTAAATAGATGTGTCAAATTAACCGTGTTAGATCGACATAACTTATTAGTTTATATGTTAATGACATTTAAATATTAATTTATATGTTAATGGATTGTGTCAATTCAATTTTTTTTTAATGTCTCATACTAACAAGACTTATGAAAATTAAGAGTATGATTCAGCATGGCACATTATTCATAATCTTTATGGGTAATGTTATGCCAAGCATAACATTATTTTTTATGCTTCATTTATTATTATTAAAAATAATATGTGGGAGATAATAAACACGTAATAAAATAAAATGACATATATAAAGATATTGAAATTATAATCCTAATATTAAATACGTGTATATATATATATATATATACACACATATATTATCTATCAAATGCCCGTTAATATACATATAACTAAGGTTTGGCCAATTGATCCATATATCAGATGTAAGTTAAATTTTAAAGAAAATTTTTGATAAACCAGACATTAATTTTTTTATAAAAAAATATTTTAAAAGCATATGATCTAATAGTATTTCTCTAAATTGTTTTATAATTAGATATTATACCACTTCTAATTAAATCATTAAAATGTCCATTTGTAAAAACAAATGGTTGCTTAAGCCACATTATAAATTTAGCTAATTAATTACATTAATTATATCATAAAAAAATGAAATACACCTAAAGACCGATTAAAATGCTGACTAAGTGTATTTTGTGTGAAATCATTAGAAGCGACAAATGTAACCTTGTATTTTTCTTTATATGTTTTCAAATGACCGGTCTTTGTTTTTATTTTACAACTAAAATCTTTTTTATATAATGTTAATAGTTTGAAGAATTTGATCATATAATTTTGAAAAGAATGTTAATTTATTTTATATACATAAATTTAAAATAAATAAAAATAATCTGTGCATTGAATAGTTTGCAAACTAATTAGATATAATTTATCTATCAATAATTTAAATATTTAATAAATAAATTTATTTAATATAATTTTATTTTATAAATTACCAAAAAATAAATATAATTTCATTAGAATATAAAAAAAAAGTGACATAAATATACTTAAATACCAGAAACCCATTTATAATAATTATGGGCCAATATAACGTAACACATTTAGATTTGTGTACCATGTTATGCTAACTCACATTCTACATGTTAGTATTAACCTTTAACAAACCGTGCTGTGCAAATTCATAGGCTTAAAAACTTTTAGTCTAATATGACATATATATTTATCTTGTTTAACTCAGCCTGATTATTTAACAGCCCGTTATGTGAAGCGCAGCCTATACCATACCCTATTGTGTCATGTCATAGACCGTCCAACCCATTTGACACATTTGATTTTAATTCTAATAGTAATAATCCTACTTTATTTTGATCTTAAAACCTTCAAATTAAAACCCATGCAGACTAAATTAATTGTCATTTTTCTTCTTATTACTATTAATTTTATTAATTATTCATTGTTTGCCATTAAAAGTGAAAAGCTCGCAATGGCTTGCATCAAAAGAAAAAACAAAAATGTGAAACTAGATTTGATAATTAAGAAAAGAAAAGCACTAAGATTAATTATAGACGACCATGAAATGTATATATCTATAAATAGCACAAAACACCAGAAACTTTAAATTACTTTACTGCATGTTGGAAATGAACATGTTCTAATGTTCATTGAACCACAAAAGTGCACCATTCAATGCAATATTAGACCTATAATTTAATAATTAACTTTGACAATTATTGAAAATGCAAAAAGTTAGATCTATTGATTTGAAGAAGACTCATGAAGCTTTTTTTTTTTAATTTTCTTTTGAAAGGTGAGAAGATAATAATTTTATAAAAGGTATAATTATAGACAGTACTGGTTAAAGATAATTAAATTAGTATTTTAGGTAAGATTTTTGCATTTAATGTATTATTTTTACTAAATGCAAGAAGAAACAATACATTAAATGTATTTTTTTAAAAATATTATCTTAGATACTGCTTTAACAATTTTCTTTTAAGGAGGGAAGCAATCAATCAAGGCTGCATTATTTGCAAAATACTTACGCACAACTCTTCACTACCAAAGAAACATAACCCAAGTTAAATAGGAATTAATGCAATTCTGAAGCATTTTCCTCACATAATGTTCATTTTTTCCGAGAGCCAAACAAATTAAGGAATCGATTACAGCTAAAGATACAGTAGTGCAAATGGAATTGGCCCTTGTAGCTGTTAATCAATTTCTATGGTTCCCTCCAATGAGACATAAGAGTGCAACTAGATATATTAACCTAAACCCAATATCTTTGTATAGTTGTTCAAAATGTCTGGAGACACACCAAAATCAAAAGGCCCTGATGAGGACTTGCCGAAAAATTCGATGTTCTTCTGTATAAATATTTACACACGCTTTTTAAGTGAGCAGGAATAGCTGTGTGCCTAATTAAAAACCTTTATAAGAGAATGATAAGAGACAACCATGTGCAAAAAAAAAAAAAAAAAACAGTGTGTTCACTTACAGTAATCCCAACCGATGGACACTGTCTTTTTCCTCAGTTATGGTAACCCTAACAATAAGACATCATCTGTTTATAATCAATTCGGTTGGTTCAAGTCTTTCTCTTACCTTCTGCTTTAAGTAATTGAGCATGATTTGAAATTTGAATCAACATTGAAGATGCGAGTGCACATTTATGGAGGCAAATGTCATTTGACGAACTAAATTTTGTTTGTAATTTTATTTTGTATTCCCCTATCATTAATGAGGTATGCAGCTATTATATATGCACATTATTTGCAAAACTGAAGAGTACGGCTGCTATCTACATTTTTTTCTTCATGGGTCTAATCTTCTTCCTATGATCTTATCGTACATGCAAAACCGTATGATGGAAGAGTAATTGTTCTTTCTCATATACGACTTAAAAAATATGCTAATTTCCAATAGAAAATTAAAGAAGGGTACTTTTCCCACTGAAATGAAATTGCCACATCAAAAATTCTTGAAGATGAAAAATGGAACAAGCACTTTCCAGCTCCAGTACCATCGCTGGCGTATAACAGGTAATTACCTTGGACAGCACGCGGTAATGGCCATGGGGACCCAGAGTTTGTAAATTGGAGTTGACTCTGCTGGAAGCTCCCTTACAAGAAACTACAGTCAGGTCCTACTTGCTGGATCATTTCTTCTGTTTTTGTCAGCTATGTGATGATGGTGATGAATGCACATCGTTTTCTTATGCATGACATTCTATCCTTCAGACATGATCGTACATAAGCTAGCTCAAGTGCATGTGTTGCCACATATCAAATGTCAATAATGACAGTATACTTGCTATAATTCTTCATGACCATGCATGCATGCACCATCAATAGTCGAACTGTTGTGTCTGCAAACACAATGATCATAGTCTAAGTATCTGAATATCTGACTAATCATTTATGCACCCCAAGCATCAAAGACATGCAATTATACATGTTTTCCTATCATGCATAATATAAAAGAGAAAATCTTGATGATAACACATGGTATTTTTGCTGTTAGTACTTGGTACTTAGAATCTGCTGTATAATCCTATATTTGAGACGATCATAGGATCCATTAAAGATTTAGTGCTAATGAACAATAAAAATTCTTTGTAAGTTGTATAAGCAGAAAATGAAAATGAAATTAGCATGTGGTCTTCGATTCATAATTAAAAACGAGGAAAACTATCTTCCGCATTAATAATATAGAAATTTTAAATTCCACAAAATATCGCTATAGAATTGTATGGTAGTAGTATACCAATGGCCTTTCTAAACAAAGCATGCTGGGTATGAATGGTGCGCAACCTTACATGGCTAATAAAATGCATGTTGCGAAAACATAGTTGCCCCTATATCATAGGGGCTGCTCTCGGGCGGTCTTTCTTTCCATAGTTTATTGCAAAAGACCCTTTACATAGGACAGATATCACGTGGACCTGTTCCAAATTCACCAAATCAAACGGTCAGGATCAAAATTAAATTCCACCAAATCACATAACAGCCCTAGGATCATGTCCCATGTCCAACTTATGGTGCAAGCCTTTGATTCTGTAGTGAGGGGGAACAAAGTCCCCACTTTTGCCTCTCATGTGACCTACCACTAAGTCTAAGTTGACCTGTAATTGCTCCCACTATGTTCTTTCTTCTCCTTGCCTTGTATAAAAACTACCTTTCCAATTTTTCTACCTATATATCTTCATAATTAGCATAAAAACACACAATAAAAGCCCAAAGTGAAAACAAGAGAACTGAAAATTGTAAGCAATCATCAGAGAAATTAAAATGGCCAAGGTCGAAGGTCTAGGACTCGAAATCACGGAGCTTAGGTTGGGTCTTCCTGGTGATTCCGGTCATCATGGAATTGACAAAAATGAAAAGAAAAGAATTTTCTCAGAAATTTCCGAGGAGGAGGGAAATGGCAAGATCAGAGATGGCCAGAAAATGCAAGGCAAGAGTCAAGTTGTGGGGTGGCCTCCGGTGTGTTCGTATCGAAAAAAGAATAGCTTCAGCGACGAAGATGGGTCTAAAACATCAAAAATGTACGTGAAAGTTAGCATGGATGGAGCTCCTTTTCTTCGCAAAATTGATTTAGGCATGCACAGAGGTTACTCTGATCTTGCTACGGCATTGGAGAAGCTGTTTGGTGAGTGCTTATAGCTCCAACATATATTTTTCCTTCATCTTTTAATTATTTTCACCATGCAAAAATAACTATAGTATTTAGAAGTATTACTGTCAAGAATGATATTTTTCTCATTGATTAAACAAAAAATGCTTCTAAGTAAGCTTAAAAACCAGACCTCAGGGTAATCAAAGTACTAGATTTTTTTTTTTTTTCTGTATTCAGCTGTAAAAAGCTGGTTTTCTTCTTAATTATCCATTTTTGTGCTTTCCACAAAAAAAAATTTTCAGTATTTAAGATTGTAAGAATTTGAATTCTATATACTTTTCAAAATCAATTAATTCCCCAATTTTTATAAGGTAATAACAATGGATGAATGAATACGCATGCTATATTAATAGAATGAGAAAACAGGGTTTAATTACTTGTATAATTCAGTCAATTAATCAAAACATTCAACAAGTAGGTAACTAATAATATATAAAGGTCAATTAATAGAAGAAACTAGAGAGAGATTAGTAAATTCATCCTTTCTCAAATTTTCCAGCCTCGTGTTGGAATTTAGGATTTTTTAGTAGGAGGTTTGTCATGTGGATGTATACTTTCCTCCATAGCTTAATTTATCCCCCATGCGTCTCTGTTCTTGGTTATAAACACAAATTTTAATTGCACGAAGATGAAGATAAAAGAACTATAAGCCTCATCTTATCAAACTCATAATCAAAGAAAACTATCCAAAGAAACAAATCAATCAATTAATTAATTGAATGCTTGTACAAGAAATAAACGGAAAAAAAATCAACAAAAAATTAATTATTTTGGTGTATTATTATTGTTGACAGGAGAGGCGTTGAGGGATGCAGACAGCTGTGAATTTGTTCCCATATATGAAGACAAAGATGGAGACTGGATGTTAGCAGGAGATGTTCCCTGGGAGTAAGTCTATTTCTCCAACTACCAATTTCACAATTAAATAACTATTATTCCATAGATTAATCACGAATTTAATGTTAAAAATAACTTGCTAATTCATTTGAAATTTGATGGATTAACTTTTTAGTTCAAACCTTGATTTTATTTGGAAGCGTAGTGGGAGTCTTCTCACCTTGTCGAAAAATATGTTTATGGCTGGACGAGTATAATGAAAATATTTTTATTACATCGAATGATACGTTTTATGACTAAAGTTGTAGTGCTCCCACCACATTCCGAAATGAAGCTTTTATCAAATGGTGAAATATTTTAGATCCTTGCTAGTCAACTATATCACATCCTTGTTTCCTATAGTTTAGACATCAATAGTTAGACTGGGCAAAGAAATTCTAATTACCATGACATTTCATTATTTGAAAATGTTTCATTGGTCAAAAATTGTTGGGGAAAATATTTTTGGAAGTAATCTTTCTCACAAAGTACTGATTATTTAAAGGATAAATCATGATTACCTGCCGTGTTTACCGGATACGTAATTGCACGTCGATTTGTTAGAAGATAATAATAATTGGAATTTTCTTTTTAAATTATAAATTCCCTCTCTGTTTTGTAAAATTCTTGGGGAGATATGCTTTTATGTTCTGTTTTCAGAAGTATACTTTGATATATGTATGTTTGCTAGACATAATAAGCCATTTGAACTGAACACAAAGTGATAAATGAAAGTTTTTATCTAAAAAATCAAAACTAAGAATTTGTTTGCTTTGAGAAAATTTTTTTTTATTTTTTATTTCTATTTTCTAAAGAATAATTTTTCTTTTCTAAAAAATATATTTAATAAATGAGAATAAAATTATTTTTTAAAAATATAAAATATTCAATAATATTATTAATGACATCTAATTATAAATATAATATATATTTATTAATTAATGACATTAAAAAATATTCAAATATGATAACTTGTAAAATATAAGGAAAAAAGTAATATAAATCCCTTATTTTCACAATTAAAAATATTTTTTTTGTTTTCATATCTCATCTTATTTTTATTTTTGATTTCTTAAAATTTATTTGTATTTTTAATTATCAAACACGTTTTCACTTATATCTTTTGATTTTTAAGAAAATAAAAATAAAAAATACTCTATTTCCTAAAACTCAACATTATTTAATATTTCTTTTCATTATTGACAAATGGTCATGAAAATTCGCATAATTGACAAGCTTGCTTCATATAAAATTTGTGTAATTATAATACTAAAAACTAGATTCAAAGAACCTTAAATTTTTTTATACAAATTAAACGATATAAGGGATGAGAAAACCGATGCTTAGGTTCGAACCCTATACAAAATGAAACGATCAAATCTGGCTGTCAAACAAATGTTGAGAAATCATGTTCCACACCATGAAATTGACAACCAAATGCTAGCTAGCTGCTTCTAGTTAGTAAATAAATAACACTTAAAAACAAAATTTTTATTCCATATAGAAAAAACAGAGTGGCAAATTTGTCTTTTTATGACTTTTGCACCGTGCTTGGATTCCATGAATTGGACCAATATTGCCGACATTAGCTTATAAATCCGTATAATGATGTCGGTTTGACTACGATATTGCCCTCCATTAGCAAACCTGAGTCAAGCCTAGAAATATTTATTAGTGACAGATGACTGTTGGCCACAACAAATTCCTAAAATCTAAAGCTAATAGCAGATTAATATAAACCGATGAAATTTTTTCTTTTTCAAATATAGGGAAAATGAATTCATTAAAAAAATTAATAAAAATTATGATGCCAAAGCTAATAATTAATTGATAATTTGCAGGATGTTTATTGAATCATGCAAAAGGCTGAGGATCATGAAAAGAGCAGATGTTAAGGGTTTTGAAGTGCTGAGATCAAGGAAATTCTAAATGGAACTTAAAAAAAAAAAAAAAGTGACTGGAAAAGCCAGTTGAAGAATTACGTGACTATAGTTTCTATGATTGATAGTATACTTTGTTAAAGGTTAATGATGGTTATAAGTTACTTGATTAAGAAGACGATTCTTGTTTTCAATACTACTTTTCTGGATTATTGATGTTAAGACTTAATTTGTTATATTGTAATTGGGATATAGGACCCATCATAGGTAAGAAACATAATTTGCTTTCGCATTATGAATTTGAGGTTGTTATATGCTGTTTGGTGCTTGATATGACTTTTTAATATATAAATATATATATATATAATTAAGGATTAATTGTTTTTATTTTCCTCTAAATCAATGAATATGATTCTAGATTTGTAATTCCCTCCTATGCAGCAATTATATATAATAATTAGTACTCTAGTTACATTTTTTTTAGAAAAATTTATGGTAAAGAAGGAAGTTTTGTAGGTAAAATTCATTAAATTTTATTCTTAAAATATTGATAATTCGTGTTTTTGTATCATATTTTATATGAAAATTATATGTTACAATTTATATTAATACGAAATATATTTTTATTTTTATTACATTTATATATAATTTTTATTAAAATTTTAATCCATGTTAATTATCGTTTTTTATTTTAAATAATAAAATTATAACAAAAAGTTTTCCCCCATTTTCCTATAAAAAAATCGTGGAAAAAATCGAGACCTTCTCCTTTTGCTCAAACGAAAAGACGAAAGCCATCCACTCACCTTTAGACCGTTTCATTGCTTCGACTGGCAGGCATCCAATTCAAACAGAGGGGTTAGTTTGTGGAAGTGGTCATGGCTGGGTGAGGCCACAATGGAGAATCAGGAGGCTTCATAGGGGTGAGAAATAGGTTTGTGATAAGGGAATGTTAAGTGTAATACTCACACCAATGATATTGGTATTCTTTTTTTTTTTTTTTCAAGAAATAAATTTATTTTAAATTGATTTGTAACAAGAAAAAACTTTTAAGAACTTGTTGAAAGCTCACTCACTTTTTTTTAGAAGGGTATTCTAGCAAGGTTTTGACCTTCTACATATGTATCAAAAAAATATTAACAAAATCATTCGTGATTATAATTATAATAATTACTTTTCTAATAAAAAAATTATGATTATTATTTGTGATGAGACTGACTAATCTATAATAGTAATAGTTGTATTTATATTTATGGATATAATTGATTGCTTTAAACAAAGAAACTTCTATGTTTAGGATTTAGGATTGAAAACATAAATTTTGTTTTGTTGATCTACATATATAAAACTATATTTTCTTCCATATTTTCCTAGTCATCCAAACAAGATGAGAAAATCGCATGGGACATAATCTAATCTGCAATATTATCTCTTATCTAGATATTCTAAATTCAACTAATAAACCTAACATTTTTTACTTCATTTCTGACATATTGCAGTTGGGATAGTTTTTTATTCGGTCAAAATTTAAATGGCCAAAAATATCCATAGTTTTATGTATAAAAAGCTTTTCGTAATTGAAAAAAAAAAGGGGGGGGGGGGGGGAATTATAGGAGAAACTGACAGGAAGTTGGAGAGAGCATAGTAAATTAGTGAAACAAAAAAGAAAGTTGAAAAAATTTCTCTTTCTAGAAGGTTGGTTTGTTTTTAAACCAAAATTAAATATGGGGTTACCTTTATAGAGTTGAAAAGAAGGTCAAGGAACAACGAGATTCGCATTTCCTCTTTGATGATTCAGAACAATTCCGGCAGTGGGAAATACTAATATGTCTGCTCAAAGGAAGAAATTGATGCAAAACATCCAAGCCAAGAACTTTGATCTACTTAGTTGCACTACTATCAATCCAGTTTACTCAGTTCTGGCTAATATATCTAAGGCCTCAGATAGCATTGTTCTTGCGATTAGAAAAAATTAAATTAAAAAAAAAAAAGCATTTAAAAAATATTGCAAAAAATTGCTATGAAAATTATGATTTCAGATTTTTGAATGTTTGGCACTAAATTTGTTATGAAAAATTAAAATATCTAAAGAGGATAAAAAATAAATAATGGAGTAGGTATTTGATCATTTTATCTCTAAATCATAAATTTCAAACTTGGCAATTGCACATCCAATTAACTTCAGCGATGGACTCATTTTTAACAGTCAAAATATGTTTTTAACTCAAATAATAGTTTGTTTAACATTATTTTTGTATTCAAAAGCTATGAAGTTAAGATGATAACATATGTTTTTTAGTGTATATTTAAAAAATTAAAATAAAATTAATTTTTTTTTAAAAAAGATATGTATCACCATCTTAACCTAACTTGTAAAGCTAAAAAACTTCATTATTAGTGTATCAAATAATTATATATATGGGAGGGATTAACTAACACAAAAAAGTTTTATATTTTTTTATAACTATTGATTTTAATAGATCCAAAGGATAAAACTAAATATTTTTGTTCATTTTCACTTGGCTCTCTCATCATTTGGATCTATTCAAATCAATAGTTAAAAAAAAGTATAAAACTTTTTAATTTTACGTTAATATAAGTTGATCCCTTTTTTATATATATATAAACCATCAGCATCTTATTTCATTTGTCAATGATCAATAATTTATTGATCTAATGAGTGGTTTTGGATTTGAATTAATATTATCGATGAGCACTTATTGGTACTAATCTCAAATACATGATGTCTTTCATGGATCAAATACCATACATGTTGCTTTAATTTATGAGATTGAATGATATATCCGTCTATTGATTTCTTGTACTCAAAAATTAAGAAAAAAAATTATACAAGGAGACTAATTTTATCTTTTGATCTTTCTTTCATCAAACTACATGATTATGTTGGCAAATTATGTTAGTATTTTATTAAGCATATGGTCGTTAAGTGCCGAAAAAGATATCTAGTGTTAAAATAATGAATTGCTTTTAATGATTATGTCATTTTTTTCTTTGTTTCATTGTATTTGTTGGAAGGGAAGAGATATTTGCCAAATTAGTTGATAATGGGAAATCTTGAAAGAATTAATTGCATATAACAATGTTGAAGGGAGCAACCAATCCCCATTTCAAGTCATAATGTTGATTTTCTTTCATCTTTTTCTTTTCCAAATCAATCTTTATGATTTTGTTGGAATTTTCAAAATGATTATATGGTTCTCGTCTACAAAATATAAAGCGAGATGTTGAAAAGAAGACATAATTTAGTTTAAAGAAAAGATTCATGGTCAAATAATGAAATACACTTTATTCATGGTCAAATAATGAAATACACTTTCTCTATCTAATATTTGTTGTTGAATTCTTCTTTCATCCCCTCATCTTTATGGTAATGGAACGATACCTAATTATATAATAGATTTGCAAAGAATTTGATAACAAGATGATGTAGAAAGTATGTGTTTAGTTCAAGATCAAACACCACAATTTAGTTCCATACTGCCCAAAAATGAATGGGGCAGTAAAAGCTACAAACAAAAACATCAAAAGGATTCTTAAGAAAATGACTGAAACATATAAGGATTGGCACGACAAATCACCTTTTGCTCTACATGCATATCAAACTTCTATGCACACCTCTATTAGGGTAACTCATTTTTCCTTGGTTTATGGGATGGAAGCTATATTGCCAATAGAAGTAGAAATCCTATTGCTAAGGGTCTTAAAGGAAGTGGGATTAGAAAAAGCTAAATGGATTCAAGAGCGCTATGAGCAATTAAACTTTATTAAGGAGAAGAGATTGATAGCACTGTGCCATGGCCAATTGTACCAAATGAGAATGATGAGAGCTCATGACAAAAAGGTCAACCTCATAAGCTCTGAAAAGGAGAGTTGGTGTTGAAAAAAATTCTTCCAAGTCAACATAATGATAGAGAAAAATGGACCCCGAATTGGGAAGGGTCATATGTGGTAAAAAAAGCTTTTTTGAAAGGAGCTTTAATCTTGTTAGAAATGGATGAAGATGAACTTTCTGGTCCTATCAATTCTAACGCATAAAGAAGTACTTTGCTTAATTCTAAAAAAAAACATAAAAAAAGTTCAAATTAAAAACTCGAAAAGACGGTTTGAAACCAAACAAAAAAAACAAAAAACAAAATAAAAAGAGTTCAAGTTGAAAACCCAAAAGGGGGACTTGAATCCAAAGGAAGAGGTTTGAATTGAAACTCTGAAAAGCAACTTGAATTGGCATTACTTGGGAAGGCATACCAGGGACAATAAATTTTGATGAGCTTTGAAGTGTTAGGACATCAAGTTTTGATTGAGTTTTTAAAGGAGATCTAAGATTTGTTGTCATAGTTATCTAATCATTTGTTTTGGGGCATTGCTACCCTAAATAGTTGCTCTTAAATACTCTCTTTTTATCTCTATACCATCATTTGTAATTTATTGCTTATCCAAATAAATGAAAGCTATCTTATTATTCTTTTAGTCCTATACATTGCCATTTCTCTTTATACCTTGCCATGAATGGAAAAAATGCATAATTTGCATGCCCACACTTTGAAATTGGGATAGTGATTAATAATTGAACAAAATCATAAGAAGTGTATGTTACTTTGAAGGATTAAAGAAGACAAAGACCAAAGATGAGCTCCTCCTAAATAAGAGCAAAATAACTTCCATAGCCCTCTTGGAGAAAAAGATAAATATTCAGGCTAATGCCAAAGATGTGCATTCAGGTTGATGAAAGATGGTTTCTTTGCCAAAGATGTACATTCAAGTTAATGAAAGATGGTTTCTTTGCCAAATACGTGCATTCAGGTTAATGAAAAATGGTTTCTTTGCTAAAGAAGTGCATTCAGGGAAGATAAATATTCAGGGTAATGAAAGATGGTTTCTTTAGTAAGAATGTGAAAAAATAAGAATGTAAAAGCCTTAGTACCACAATTGATGTTTCATTTGCATTCTAGATAGCACATGCACTTATATTATTCCCTCACTTGATCTTGACTCAGTCCAGATTATTTCTTATAATTCGTGATTTCGTCCCGATCATTTATATTTTATCTTGACTTGGTCCTAGTCACTTTTTTACTCATGATTTTATCACAGTCACATGATTCATGATTTCATCCTGATTATTTATTTTTGTCCTCGACTCAGTTTTGACTCGTGATTTTGTCATGGTTTTATGATTCATGGTTTCATCATGATCATTTATTTTCAACCTCGACTTGATCCTGATCGTTTTATTTTGATTGTGATTTGGTTCTGATCACATGATTCGTGGTTTCATCCTGATCATTTATTTTTGACCTCAACTCAGTCCTA